AGCAGTTTAAATAGAATGATAAAACACGAAAAATTTATAGTGCAATTTAGGCTAAAATTTAGGGATGTCCGTCATTATAGGCTTCATATCTAATTCCATACCTAGAATACTATAGTAAAGACATAATACTTTGTTAGTTTGTATTAATTGGACTACGAATGTGGATCAACGGTAGTGATATTCTCAACCTACGAGGTCGTAGGTCAGGCGCTTACATTACCCGCCCGTGCTTCAGCTAATTCAAGCTTAGACCTTTACCAATTGTTCCTAACTACCTAAACTTATTCATGTTCGGACCGCCCTACTCATACACATTATTCCTAAATTGTCTTCTCTTCGCTACTCCTTAACAACTACAAGAGTAGTAGACTCCATCTTTTTCACAAGCTACAATGAACCAAAGCTCGCTTCTTCAATCCTCTATAAATATAATTTGACCAACCTTTCTAAATCAACACTTATCGTACCCTCTTCTTCCTCTCTCAATATCTCCTCTTTTTCCCTCACCCAACTTAAACTTAGTCTTAGATCTCCGTGAATATGATTTAGCACCTCAAAACCAAAACACTCACCTATAACTTGTTTAGGAACCCCAAAAGAACTCATCTTATGGTGTTACACTTAAGAAGTCTATTATCCGGGCCATCTACTTCTTTGGCTATCTCGTATTGCCAAATTCCGAAACACCATCTTGTTACACCGAAGTCAAGAAATTTACAGAGTGGAGATTGGCTATAACTATTGAATTTAATACTCTTTTACAAACTCGCACTTGGAGCTTGGTACCTCAAACAACTTCGATGAATGTTATAATTAACAAATGGATCTTTAAAACAAAGAAAAAGGCAAATGACAATATTAAAAGGCATAAAGCAAGGCTGGTTGTTAAGGGCTATCATCAATAGAAGGGCATCGGATATGGAGAGATTTAGTCATATGGTTAAAACTTCAACCATTCGATGTGTACTTGCTTTGAGAGTCTCTATGGTTAGGAGATTTACCAATTACACATCCATAATGCTTTCCTCAATGGGAATCTTGCTCGCACAATGTCTTTATGTCACAACTAAATAGATTTATTGACAATCGGTTCCCTTACCGTGTGCAAACTACACAAATCACTCAATGGCTTAAAACAATAGCCAAGGGCCTAGTTTTGTTATCTTCAAGACTTTCTCCTAGCTTTTGGATATGTGGGCTCATGAACCGACTCATCTTTATATGTTTATCATGAGAACAATAATAGGGTTTTTGTTTTTATCCGTGTTGATGATATCTTAATCATTGGTAACAATTAATCTTTTTTATAATCGGTGATAATAGCTATGAACTCTAGATTTGTCATCCGTAACCTTAAGGATATTAGTTTCTTCTTAGGTGTTAAGGTTGTTCAAACACCATAGGGTATGGTCCTCTTATAAAAATGATATATTACTCATATTTTGTCTAAACATGGTATCTAGTTTCTACAACTTTGCAACCACGTCAAAATTAACAAATCATGATAACTTTGACTTTAAAGAATCTACTATGTATTATCAAGTAATAGGTTCTTTGCAATATGTCATATTAACTCGTCTAAATATTGCTTTTGTTGTTAATAAGGTGTGACCATTTATGCATGATCCAAAGATGGATCATTGGATTGTTGTTAAACATATCTTATGTTATTTAAAACATATTGTCAATCATGGGCTACATCTTTTGAGATCCAACTCATATGTTCTTTGTGGTTTCTCTCACTCTTATCAGGCGAGCTCTTTTGATGATCGTAAATCAGTAGGAGGATATGCCATGTATTTAGGTCCAAATCTGATTTCTTAGAAATCTTTTAAATAAAAAATGATGGCTCTCAACTCAACCGAGGCTAAGTAAAAGGCAATGGCTAACTCCGGCTATCGAAATGTCATAGGTGATTTACCACCTAGTTGAACTTAGTGTTAAACAATCCACAACTCTTATAATCTAGTGTTATAATATGGGAGCCACCTACTTAATGGTTAATATTGTTTTCAATACAAAGATGAAACATATTGAAATTAATTTTCACTTTGTAAGGGATTTGGTTACCACTGAAGCTTACGGAGTTAAATTTATTTCAAGTTAGGATCGAGTAGTGGATATTTTTACAAAGCCTTTATCTAGTATATGGTTTTCTTTCTTAATGGATAAACTTACATTAGGAAAATGCCTACTATGAGTTTAAGACATGATTCATGAAGTCTACCGCAACCAAGTCTCCATCTTCTGCTACAAGTTCTTCTCCTATTAGATTTTCAAGAACAACTCGATTCCTTTAAATAATGTTCGCAAAGAGATATGAACTATAAATTTCATCGGTGTTTGAAGATAATTAAATACCATCTAGAGTCATACAAACTCATTACTTGCAACATTATAAAAGCGAGATATAATCTTTGAATAATATATGGCCGAAAACATTGTTCATTCAAATCTCAAATCTCTGTTTCACGGAACACCTCAACTTAAAAAAGGGGTGGTTATGGAATTTAGTTGTCATGCTTTTGCACTCGCCAATCTTGCTTTGTAAAAGCCTAGACAATAATCAACCTTCGCAGTAAGTTGATGAAATTTTGTGTTATGTTATGCCTTTTTTAAAAAAAAATGTTCACGTTGTTTTTGTTTTAGACCACGTATTTTGTTTCGCATCTCGGGCTTTAGCACAAGGCATAGTGCTTGGCATAATGAGTAATAAAAAGAGGGAAGCCTTGAAAGGGGTGTTTGGTGTTGATAATCAGAATATATAGAAAGTCCTCTTCTAGAGACGAATGACGTTAAGGATCTCATAATTCTTGAGGAAAATGAAAATCCTACTTCTTCTCTATGATTTGTTTTTTTTTTTTTTTATTGTAATATGTCGTATTTGAACATAGGAATGACAATAAGGGGGGCATGGGTGAGGATGGCCATCCCTATCCTCGCTTCGACCTTGAAAATTTTGACTCGTCCCCTCCTCGTGCCCGGCGCGAGACAATATTTCTCATATCATCCCCGCCCCAAACAAGGACGAGTGATCCCCACATGGCATCGTTGTCCCATTGAATTTTTTGTTTTCTCCCGTTCCATCCCTTTCTACTATCAAATTTCAAACTATAGCAAAAAAATAATAGTTCGGATAGAAAATAAACCCTAAGAATCAATAGTCACAAGTTTTATATATGGTATAATTATAATTTTAAGGATGGAGCGGGTCAAACGAGATGGGACGGGCAAATACCATCTTTGTTCGAAATAAATACGAGGCGGGGCGCCCCACCTCATTCCCTAATCAACTCGGGGAATGCCATGTTGACCGAACGTGGCGAGGTGGGGCTCCGTCGGGATGGGGCAAATTGCCATCCTTATTTGAATATTACTTATTAGATTGTTTATGTTAGAACTTTATTTTAGTAGCTTTATCTTTAAGTGAAACATTATATTTAAAAGTGCTTTTTTATCCTTTTGTAAGGATTTGTTTGGAAGTTTGGTGAGCATTGAACCTCTTGATAAGAATCAAAACACTAAATTCTTGTGTGTTTTGTGATGAATTTTTGATTAATTTTGAAAACTATTCAAATTTCACAAGTATCACTTCAAAGTAAAAAAAATAAGCATAAAAAGGACACATACAACAATCAATAAGCATAAAAATTTATGTTTTATATATGCACTGTCTAGGATTTTTTTTATTTTCCTTTCCAATTCTGACTGCTCTTTTTATTATTATTATTAAATTGGACTTAGACCGCCAGGTCCAAACCTGGTGTGTTTGGGCCAAAAGTGCAGGCCAGCATGCAACTGCGGTCTAGGCCCACTTTTCATTTTTTTTTCTTTTTATATTTATGTTTTTCCTTTTTGTTTTATTTTTGTGGGGACAAAAACACGGCTATGACAGCCAACAAAAGCCATTGTCCTGATACAAATGCTGTTCATTTTTTCAGGTGGGCCAAGGAGTTAATGCTACATGTGGAAGCCATAATTGCGTTTACTTGGGAGAAACAGGCGGAAATTGAACAAACGTATGAACAAGGAAAATGTTGGCGGGATAAAGAGTTAATGCTACCAGTACATGCCATTAATTCTGTTTATAGGTGATAGAGAGAGTACTAATTACATTAGCTCTTTTTTTTTATAAAAAAAAAAAACTAAACTAAACTCACAAGGAGTAATTCAATGGTAAGAATTTTAGATTTCTAACCAGAGATACAGGGTTCAAATGACACTTGAGCCTTGGTTTCAAAAATGTCAGTTCCCAGGTTAAAAAAAAAAAAAAAAAAATTCAATCCTACTGGAAAGTGAAACAGCCTACACATCCCATGAATTTCACCTGTATTTTTAATTCAACATAAAATAGTAAATTTTTTTTATTTTTATTATACCTATATTTTTTAATTTATTAAATTTTAAATTTAATCATACAACATTAAATAATAAAAGTTAGTGTTGCAATTTAATTCATGAAGTGATATAAAAGAAATTTAACAAAAATTTATTTATTACTTTTAAAAGTAGTAAGTGAATTTGTTTTCTAGTTATCATGTAGAGTTCAAAATAAGAGAGAGTTACTGTCCACATACTTGTTTTAAAACTAGAATGGAAAAAGACTACTGAGTATTACAGTGAAGGGAAGTTGCCTTTGGTGTGTACAATGTATGCTTCCTCTAAGTGTTGCTTCGGTGACAATTTGAAACCTTTATGTGATCCTGAAGAGGTGGCATTTACCCTCCTGCTTAACATGTGTTATTTTTGATTTTATACAATTGGGAGATAATGGGACTTATAAGGTTGGTGGACATTGACGAAGGAAGAAAAAGTGCCCAATGATCAGCTTTGTAAATTTGGTGAAAAAGTCTTAGAAAACATGGCAAATGGTGCGGAAATTTGCTTCCCTTGTTATTGTTCCAAACTTAGAAGGAAAAAAGATCAAAAAAAGAAAACAGAAAGAAAAAGAAACGCTCAATGCTTCATAAATGCTATGCATTGGATGCACTGCCACTCTTTCACGTCTTCCTTGAATTGCAAATTTCATCAATCAACCAGTCTAACGTGCGCCAGGAAGATCCGCTTCCCTCCTCCATAGCTTTTTTGGCAATCTCCCCGCACTCCTTCACCTTCTTCCTCGCATCGTTACCCATCACTCCTTCCATCAACTCGTTTACCATCCTCTTTAAACCCTCCCACTGCACAAATCCTCTCACTGATCCATCACATGTCTCAACTCTCAACCCTACTTTTATCTCTTCGACTACCAATCGTGCATTCAAGGGCTGGTCAGCCATCATGGGCCATGCGAGAATTGGCACTCCTGCACATATGCTCTCCAACACTGAGTTCCACCCGCAGTGACTCAGAAACCCTTGCACACTTCGGTGCATCAATATCTCTCTTTGATCAACCCACTCTCTCACTACAATTCCTCTATTCCCGATCTTCTCTTCGTAATCATCACCTAGTTCTCGCTCTTTGGCTCTTATCACCCACAAGAAGTTTGCTTTAGAGTCCAATAACCCAGTAGCTATTTCTTTGAGTTGTTCTGGCGAGATATCAGCCTGAGATCCAAACGCTACATATAGGACTGATCTTCCTTGCTCTAGCTTTTGATCTAGCCACTTAATCCAAGTGGGTTTCTTGTGCGGTTCATGTACTACCCGTGGTGCATCAACCAGGCATAGGGGTCCAACACACCAGACTTTGTTTCCGCTCTCTTTGTTCAAGTAATCAGCAAACGCTGACTCGAGCTCGTAGAAGCTATTAATGATCATTCCATAACTGTTGATTGCTGCTGTGATTGACGCTACGTTGAACTCAAAGAGAGGACCGTTTGGTTCCGGATCCGTGAAAGTTGAATCAAAATCATTTCTGGTGACTTTAATCGATGGAAACTGAGGTAGTGTGATTAGCTCGTCATCTGACTCAGGACCAAATAGAAGTCTACGCTCAGCCACAACTTTACACAGGCACCAGGAGTAAATGGACATACCATAAAAACCAATCTTGGAAAACCAAACTTGATTGCAGAATCTAAAGTCCACCATAGGAAGCCGTCCGATACGATAAAGTTCACGCGAGGTATAGTGTCAATTGCCTTTTCAAAGTCGGGTTGCATGAGCTTAGTGGAAAGGGCAAATTGGGCAAAGAGAGACATAGAAGGGAGTTGATCGGTGCTTTCAACACCAGCAGGGATTTGAGGAACATTTTGTGGGAAGGGTAGATCAATGACAAAGGCAGTGGTGTCAGAAAGAGAATTAGCTACGAAGCTGAGGTTTCCAGGAGTGGTGAAGACGGTGACGATGAAATTGGGACGGCGGAGGAGCAGGCGGGCTAAGTGGAGGAGTGGGATAGTGTGGCCCTTTGACATGAAAGGGAATAAAACTATGTGATACTGATCTGTGTCACGAGATTTGGCTTCCATATATAAGCTAAGCGTTGGTATGATCAACGACATCTTTTATACAGAAACAGCTTTGCTAATTCCGCGCTCGCGCCTTGGAAGTACTAAATTATGGCCCCTTAAAAAAATTTTTAAAAAATCATTAATTATTATTTCATATTAGTATTTTTTTTAAATTGTATTTGGATATTTTTTTAAAAAATAAATTTTAACTAAGAATATTTTTAAAATATGCTATTTGAAATTTCGATCATACAATCATTTTAAAATACGTATAAATAGAAAGATAAATATACATATATTTTAGATGAACATATATTTTTAAAATGTTTCCATGTATATAATATATATCATATTATAAATTTTTATTTACAAATAAATAATATACGTTAACTAAATTATTTGAAAATATCTGTATTAATGTATACGCCAAATCCCAAATGTTCCATATATATATATATATTCTTATGAAATATAGCTATTTCATTAAACACAGAATATTGCAAATGACATCTTAAATAAGTACTATTAAATTTTAGGTTTTTTTTTAGCTATTTAATTGTATATAAAGGCTTTGGCTATATTTATGTATTTATTTTTCTTTCTCTTGAATTATTTAATGAGAGACTTAATTCCGATGGAAATTCGGTCGCTAAATAAAAAATTAACGATTAAATTTAGTCCTTCATTAGCTCTCCGGGCGCGGGGGGGGGGATTTCCCCTTGAATGTTAGTGACAGAAGGTCATTTCGTCATTGATCAGTGACAGACTGCATTTTGGGGGTAAATTTCCCCCTAAAATAGTGACGGAATAGTGATAGATTCAAGTTTGTCGCTATTTTTCCTATATATACAACCTTCCCTCCTTCATTTGTTTCTCTCACCTCCATCACACCTCTCTTTCCAACGCCGATCAAAAAAATGACCACCCACCCTGCCCCACACCACTAAAACTTTTTCCAAAGTATTCAACAAAGTAAGGGATATCTTTCTCCCTCAAAATCGGATCGGATCTGTGTTCTATAAACTTGATATGTCGTGTAAAACTTTCTCTCTAACTTTTATATATTTTTTTAAGTTAGATAAATGTTATATATTTTTAGTTAAATTTTTTTATTTATTAGTTTATTAATTGTTTGAATGTTGTTAATTACCTTGTTATGTTAATTTATATGTAGAAGTTTAAATTTATTAGTTTTTATTTTATTTTTATAACTCGTTAGATTTATTTTATTAAGTTTTAGTTTGTTGTTATTTTAGTTGTTAGGTTAATTTGTATGTTAACGTAAAGCTTAAAAATATAAATTTTGTTAATTTTTAGTTGTTACATTAAAATTTAATTATTTAATCTTAAATTGTTAGTATGATTAATTGAATTAATTATATATATATATATATATATATATATATATATATATATATATATATATATATATATATATATATATATATATATATATATATATATATATATATATGTTATAGGTTAATTTGCTTAGTTGTTTGTTTAAATTTAATTTTAAAATTATATTATTTTTGACGTAGTTTAGTCAATTCGAATGTAAATTTTATTAGTTTAATTATTAAAATTGAAATAATATAACATGTATAATGATTTGATCGATTCAAAAAACAATTGAAAAAAATATAATTAAAAAATTAAAATAAATGTTAAAAAATTTATAAAAATTTTATTAATTAATAGAATTAAATAAATCTTTTAGTTGAATATTTTTAAAAATTATTTAGGTGATAATGTAAGTTAACATTTTTTTGGTTCATAAAGTATAAAATTTAATGTATTTTAAGTGAAAATGATAATGTAATTACTTAAATTACTTAAAAAATGTTAAAATTATATAAATATTTAGATAATTAATAGAATTAAACAAATATTTTAGTTGAATGTTTTCATAAATTATTTATTTGATAATGTAATTTAATGTATTTCGGTTAAAAAAGTATAAAATTTCATATATTTTAAGTGAAAATGATAATGTAATTACCTTAAATTACCTAAGGTATTTTAAATTAGGTTAATTTTTTTGTTTCGGTTAGGTTAATGTTATTATATATTGAACCTAAGGTTGAAAATATTAAAAAATTACACAATAAATAATTGAATATTAAGAAATTAAGTATTTATTAAAAAAAATGTAATCATTCTTTATATAATTATTTAAATAGGAAGTAAAATTCTAAAATAAAATTCATAACTAATTAGAGATAATTATATAACTAATATATGTGTTTAATAGTTGTTTAGAATTATTCAAAATGATGACAAGTAATTGCTTACAATGGTTCTCTTATTTTTGCGAGTAATTTAAAAAATGAGACATGATCAACAATGAATGAATTTTAGATTAGTTAACGGATTTTTAAATGATGAATTTGTCAAATGTGTAGAGCAATTTTTAGCTTTTGCTATTAAGCATCCCGAATGTATGGATGGAATCAAAATTAGGTGTCTTGTAATTTGAATAAGTGTCGAAACCGAAATTATGAAAAGATTGACATGGTTAAATATCATTTGTGCCGTAAAGGTTTTGTGCCCGGATATTATAATTGGGTGCATCATGGTGAATTTGAAGCCTATATGACATTTGAAAATTCTAGGAGTCGAATGTTTTAGGAAATTATTATATAAGCGAAGGAGGTTCTAGTGAGCCCCAAAACCCATATCAAAGAATGGTGATGGATGCAGCTAGGTTCATCCTTTGATCCGTCCAACACGAAAGAGGTTCCTAATCCTAGCGCCTAATACTTTTATGGTATATTGAATACATCACGTAGAGAGATTTGTCTTGGTTGTGATGAGCATTTGTAATTGTCAACGATTGCTCGAATGGTTAACCTAAAAGCCGAATATCATTTTTCAAAACGTTTTTTGATCGGTTATATGAGTCGATGAAGGAGTTGATGTTGGTTGATAATCGTATGACAAATAACTTTTCCGAAATAGAGAAGTCGGTGAAGGGGATGGGTTTACCGGTGGAAAAAATTAATTGTTGTCATAACGGGTGTATGATTTATTGAAAGCAAGACAATGAATTAGATAAATGCGAGATTTTGTCAATATCCTCGATATCAAAGTTCTCGTCGAGGATCGGGAAGAGGAAAACTTATTCCAAATAAGAAAATGTACTACTTTCCTCTAACTCGCATCTACAACGATTGTATGTATCGAATGCAATAGTCGAGCACATGATGTGCCATGTTGAACATAGGGGAGATGATGTAGGAGTAATGCATCATCCTTCGATTCAATTGCATGACAAAGTTTCAATCGGATTGATCGTTCTTTTGTAGCTAAAATAAGGAACGTTCATTTAAAAGTGTGCATTGATGGGTTTCAACCATTTGGTCAATTCGGTGTGCAATATTCCTCGTGGTCGATCATTGTGACTTCATACAATTTGCCACCATAGATGTGTATGAAAGAGGAATATATATTCCTAACGATGATTATTCCGAGTCTAATAAATCTAAAACATAAGTTAGACGTTTACTTATAGTCTTTCATATCCGAGCTTATTCGGTTATGGGAGGTGGGTGTAGTGACATATGATGTGTACCACAAGCAAAATTATTTATTGAGAGCTATAGTTATGTGGACTATCGGTGACTTTTCCGCATATGCAATGCTATCCGGTTGGAGTATTACAGGAAAACAAGCATGTCCTTACCGTATGGAAAATTCATATACTTTCTCCCTTCCAAATGGAAGGAAACCTCCCGGTTTGACAACCATCAAAAGTTTCTTCCTCATGATCATCCATATAGAAGAAACAAGAAAGCATTTATCGCCAACAAAGTTGTTAAATCTGGTCCTCTCCCAATCCGATCCGGAACAAAGATGTTACATTTAATCGAGTAGTGGGGGTTGTTGAAGGTGACGGAAGATGGTGTAGATGATCATAATAATAAAATCTCTCGGATGTGTGGATGGAGGAAGCGAGTATTTTTTAGAATTTACCTTATTGGAGTACAAATGTCATCCGACATAATTTAGATGTCATGCATATTGAGAAAAATATTTTTGATAATGTTTTTAACACAATCATGAATGTGTCAAAAAAACTAAATATAATAGCAACTCCAAGGAAGACTTAAAACTCCTTTGTAAAAGGTCGAATTAGCAAAGGATGATGCATCCGCAAAGTATCCTAAAGCTACATATACTCGTCGAAACAACAAAAAAGAAGATTGCTTGAATGGGTAAAACAACTCGGATTCTCCGATGAATATGTGTCCAATCTAGCTAGATGTGTTGATATGCGAGCATAGTAAACTTTATATGATGAAAAGTCATGACTGTCACGTCTTCATGCAGCGTTTAATTCCAATTGCATTTTGGGAGTTTTTATCGAGAAATGTTTGGCAATCACTTACGGAGTTGAGTTTATTTTTCAAGCAATTAACTTCTATAGTTATAAAGCAAGAGAATATGTTACGACTTAATGATGAGATACCCATCATTTTGTGCAAACTAAAACGTATATTTCCACCCAACTTTTTTGACTCCATGGAACATCTTCCAATTCATCTTCCATATGAGGTTAATGATGAGATACCCATCTATTGTGGGACCCGTAGAATATCGATGGATGTATCCATTTAAAATGTATTGACATTCAATTTAAAAGTCAAATTAAATAAATTTCTTACTTTCGAACGTTAAAATTATTCACATTTACGAGTATTTATAGAAACTAAAAAATAATGTTAAGAATAAAGCTAAAGTGAAAAAAACAATATGCAATACATATTCGGTCGAAGAAGCCTCTCTATTTTGCTCTCATTATTTTGAGCCTCGTGTGGATATAAGTCATTGAAAAATGCCCCGTAATTTTGAATTCAACAACGAAGAAGAAAACCATATCGAAGGTATGTTATCCATATTCAAGCAACCAGTGTCGATTAATTGGTCCATACAAAATAAGAAAATTGACACAACTAGAACATAAAGTAACATGCCAATATATATTATTGAATTGTGAAGAAGCCAAACCTTACATTGAGTGAATTGGATCAATTTATTATATTTAATAA